TACACTAATAAACTATACATAATCTCTTAATAAGCTGTACTTCATATATAAATGTAGGTGACCACAATTCACGGATACCGCATAATCACACTGCCAACGTGAGGTTTCCACAAACATTGTGTGTGTTTGTGTTTAGGGCTTCAATTCTCCTTCATGATGCTGCAGCGCGTTTACTCTGTATCATAATAATCTGCTGCCTCTTACTCGCTTGTCTGGAGCTGGAATAAAAGGCCATTTTGTAAAACGTTACTAATTGGCACTGACATGGAGCATTTATTTGGCATACATGTAAATGCCCTCACACAAGTATAATGAGTTGCAAATAATGATCTGTGTATCGCAGTGTCAAGAATTATGTGTTATATAAGAGCATTATAACTAGACAGGGGAGACTCAACTCTAAAGTGATATTTGATGTTATATAGTGAACAGAAAATGCTTACAGATAGTGACATAGCCATGGCCAGCTGTAGTTCTTCTTCCTCCTCCAACTCCAAGAGTGTTTTCCTCTCTTCTTCAGCCTTCTCCTTCTCAATGCGGAGCTTTTTCCTACTATGACCTTCAAGTTCCTCATGGCAGTAAGCTTCCTCCTTCCCCGGACGCCCCTCTGCCTCCTCCTGCCAGCCGCCCTCCGCTCCGGGGACGTCGCCGGCCCCGGGCTCTCGCGCGAGTAAGGCGGCGACCTGACGCCTGTACTCCTTGTTCTCGGCCTCCTGTGCGGACATGTGGAGGGCGAGGGAGAGCAGGTCGTCGTCGTCCATGCGGAGACCCTTCTTGAGGTCGTCTTCGTCGTCTTCGTCGTCCCTGGTCTCCTGGACTCTCCTCTGGGAAGGACCTCTTTCCATTAGCCAAGGTTAATTTCACATGCACTAACCAACACACGCACATGAGCACACACGAACACACATACACACACACGCACGCACACACATACATGCACACACGCACAAACACACATATACATACACGCACAAATCATACATTAAAAAAAGAAGAAAATCACGTACCGCTTCGAGCAGGTCGAGCAGCGCGAAGTTAGGCTTCAGCGTCCGGAACTGGTCGCGGTCCTGCCGGCAAGAAGGGCACCGGAACACACTCTTGCGGTTCTCCGTCCTTGAAGGAAAGATTTTCATTGCCTTTCTTTTTACTCATTAAGCCTTCTCTAAATGTATCTATTCATTTCACTTATTTATCTACTAATTTATTATTTCTAAGATATTCTTATCTATTCTATCTACGTATGTATTTATTCATCTACTTATTCATTTATTCATTCATTTAATCATTATTTCACATACAAACACACATATATGTATATATTTTACCCTGTCACCCGTTGTATCTTCTCTTACAGCAACATATTAATTATTGCAGAAATAAAACAAACAAAAAAACGAGGCACCAAGACACTGAAAACAAAGACACAACGCAACGCCAAACAAAAAAAATAATAAATAAATAAATAAAAAATAAAACAAAGAAGCACAAACCAGGAAAGAAACCAAACATTAAGCCAAACACAGATTTCACAGAAAGACAAACAACAGAAACCTTACTAAGGCATTCCTCGCAGAAGGTGTGGCCGCAGCTGGAGAAGATAAGCGGACGACGATCGTGCGCGTTGTAGGTCGACCTGCAGACTGCACAGGTTAGCCCTGAGGGAGCCTGCAAAACACGGTGTCCTGTATATTAGCCCACAGTTTCTGCCTGGCCCCATTTCGCTCTGTTTCTCGGGGAGAGAGGTGCCCAAGAACGTGGCGTCACCAAGCAAACGTCGCAACTGAACCGGCTGGGACAATATGTGTGTATCTATAGCGCTGCCAGTCTCTAAACATGACGCGGTTCGCCTGTTGACGCGGTAGACTGGCTGGGCGCCACAGGCAGGTAAATCTGTCAGGGTGAACTGCAGCCGAAAGGAGTCTCCGCAAGACGGGGCCTCTGGGGTGATCTTCGTGCGTTCCCAAAAGGTGGGAAGCTACGGACGTGCCCGACCTCGGCTCATCCTCAATGCGACCGCGCCGTATTAAGGATGAGCCCAAGGGGCGAGGCCCTTGAGGCGGAGTCGACGATCGTTGATGGCCCTTGCCTCTGTCGGGTGGAGCTCGCATGCAGTTATCAGAGCGCCTTAAGTCGCCTCATATTTCGTCTGATTTTGTGCGTTTCAGGCGAGGGTCTTTTAATACATGCCGTAAACTTTATACTGGCAGTTCTCCATTAACGAAAGGACATTCATGTTGGTTCAAGACTAGAGAGTGGTTGACAGCGACAGTACATTCTCAGTCATTACAGTATAATGGAGGGACATACTGTCGTGACTTTCGATGTCATGAGCTTGTGAAAAGCATTTTCCCATATGGCTCGATGCAGGACAAGGTCAAAATGGTCTTAAAAGTCTCTTTTATAGGATTATTATGCCAATAAAGAAGGCGCTTCGGACTGAAGGCAGGCAGGCAGGCAGGCGACAGGCGGTTGGATTAGTAACTAACACTTTTTTGCTGTTTCGCGGTAAGAAGTCCGGGACATTATCTTATCTACGCCATTGAATGAGCTGGTCGTGAAGGGTTGTAAAACTAACTGTCATGGCATTACTGAGTTCTAAGGATTTTAGTTTTCTACTGCTTTAATGTTGAATACTTTTTTTATCAAATAGCAATTTGAAGTTTATAATTCTTCATTAGTACCTAAAAGGAAAAGAAACATAAGTATAGGCCGTCGATGGCTCAGGACAGTTACAGTAGTGGGAATTCATTCTCTTCAGAAGCACTGAAAAAGACATTTTTGTTGTATTTCTTCCTTTTGTGAGAAAAATATGCCAAAGATAAAACGATAGAGTAAGTGTACTATTCAAATTCTGTTTTTCAAGCGACGAATGCCTCCCAAAAAAGATTAAAGGAGATATTTGCATATCGTTACAGATTTATCTCTCCGCCATCTGCATTGACTTTTTTCCAATAATAAAAAAAAAAACATTACGTACAACCATGCTATTGCTACTTTTATTTACCTACAAAGATGCAAACCATATGGAGGCTGCTGTAAATGTTTCTAAATGTACATTACATGGTCTTCAGAACTGTCCTAATAATGCTGATCTGATAAATAAAAAAAAAACTCGAAAAAAGTTTCTATTAATGTGCATGTATTGTACATACATTACATGTGCCTGTTTGTTTCTTGAACTGTACTTGTTTTATTACATATAATGTATATCCATACCTATGAACCAACGCAAAAAAAAAAAAGAAAAGAAAAAAAGGAAGGAACTATAGGAACAAAGAGACACAGAAAACGCCTCCTCGCCTCGTTCACACGGACGCCAGAGTCCTGGCGGAGGCCTCCTTGACCCAAAACGTCGCGAATGCTCTCTTGCAGATCTGGCCAAGGCCTTGAAGACAGGCTGTTTAGCACTATCAGCAGTTCTGTCAGCAGCTGGAGTGTTTGGTTCAATTGTTCTTGGCTCTGCAAAACAACGAAGGTAGATTTAGTGATAAGAGAATGCATTCGCAGCTATTTCTTAAGGTGAAGTTTAAAGGAGAACTGTCTGCAGCTCATGCTAGTGAAGGAGGAACTGAAAGTAGAGGAACGAAGGCCGAGGAGGAGGAGGAGGCAGAGGGAGAGGACGACGAAGACGAAGACGAGGATGATAAGGAAAAGGAAGAATAAGAAGAGGGAGAGGTAGAAGAGAAGGCGGAGAAAAAGGACAAGAAATGAAGACGAAGAAGAAAATATAAAGGAGGAGAAGGAGGAGGCGATACAGAACAAAATATAAATATACGCAAAAAGAAAATGGGGAAAGGTGTGTTCCTTTTACATATGTCCTTAAGAACAACAGATTCATCATGCAAGTACATGAACTCTCTGTGAATATAACTTTGACCATCATTGATAGGAATTATTATTGTCTCACCTCAACTAGGGCGTCAATGGTCTTTGACGCCCTCTCATGTTCCTTGCGAAGGGCACAGAGTTCCTGTTAAGTGAAGCACACTCTGTTAGATGTATAATTACATTTACACAATTATAGATATGTATATTCGTGTGTATTCATATGTGCGTATATACGTATGTGTATATATACATACACAACACACATACATATCCCCTCCCCTCTATATTCCCCTTTTTCTTGCCGTCTTTTTCTCTCTCTTCCCCTCCCTTTTCTCTTTCACCCCCTTTCTCTCTTGCACCCCCTCTCTCTCTATCTATCTATTTCTTCCCCTCCTCCTCTCCCCTCCTCTCTCTTCATATTCCTCTCTCTGTTCCGCTCCTTTCCCCTCAATTTTACTTCCCCCTCTCTCTCTTTCTTCTCCTCTCATTCTCACCCCCCCCTCTCTCTCTCTCTCTCTTCCCCTCTCTCTTCTTTCTCTCTCTTCCCCCCTCTCTCTTTCTCCACCCCTCTATATCTCTCTTCCCTCCCTTCTCTTGTTCTCTTCCCTTATCTCGCTCTCTTACCCCTTTCCCTCCCCCCCCCCCCTACTCTCTCTTACCCTCTTTCCCTCAATCCCTCTCTTTCCCTTCCCTTCTCCCTCCCTTGCATCTTCCTTTCCTTTTATTCCACTGACCTGTGCAAGATTCTCGTGTTCCTGTTTCACCTTCCCGTTGCCAAGCTCCTTGAAGACTCTGATAATGTCGGGCACTTTCATTATCACAGTCAAGACAACTTCAGTGATTTGTAAGGCCACTGACATCTATAATAAAAATAATAAGGTAAATAATGAATGTAAATAAATATATATATGACGTATTATGCCTTTTTTACCTCTTCTTTTTTTCGATGTCGACAATGTAGAGCGAAAGAAGCAAGGCAAAATTAGAGACAAGGAGGAAGAGAGGAAGGTAGATAATGATATACAGAGAGAAAGAGAAAAGGAGAGGGAGTCCCTGTACGATGTCTAATTTGCCTTCGAATCCTTTTCTCCAACACGTTTGACAAGATGTTTCGACGGCTCGGGAACCCCTGCTTTGGCGTCCGGTACAAGTTGTTCCTCATGTCCTCCTCGCCCTCTTTGCGGCCAGGCGAACAAGACGAGATGACGTCACTCGCATTTGTGCATATAAACACTGACAGTTGTGGGCAATCAGAAGATTATGGTAATTGAAGTTATCAAGGGTTATTTCAGTTCTTGTCTTCCGAAAATTAGTTGCCTGTGCATCAGAGTAATTATAAGCCTATATACTCTAAAATAAACACGCATAAAAACAGCGAATGTTAACTTCACAGCTGGATGCATTGTGGGTAATGAAGGCCTCAGAGGCTTCCGACCGCGACCTCGTTGTCTTGCTCGTCCTGACAGCTTACCCGGACGAGCAAGATAAGGGATTCCGAACGCAGCAATGCAGGAGGGGAGTAACCACAGCATTCGAGGAATCCCTCAGCGCTAAAAACATCACAGCAAATATAGATCGAGAAGCGTGCCGTCATTCCTGTGCTGGTGATCATGATGAATTAGCAATAATCGACATTTTGGGTATTTAATGTTAACACTTCCTCGGCAAACCATGACATAGGAGATGGAAACGGAATATGTGAGGGAAATGTAAAATATATCTAAAGGAGGGAGGGGGAGGGAAGGAGAGTGTGAGAGAGAGAGAGGGGAGGACAGAGTGGTGATGGCGATGGTGTTCCTGCTGCTGATGATGATGGTGCTGATGATGGTACTAGTAGTGGTAATAATGATGATGACGGCAATTTTAATGATAATGGTAATAATAACGACAATAACTGGGAGGAGGAGGATAATGGCCATAGGGGTAATGGTAATAATGATGACATAATAATCATGATAACGATGACGAGGGCAATGAAGAGGAAGTGTAACCAGGAGAATGCCGATCAAGACAAAGGAAAAACAACAGTACGAACACTATGGGCCGTACTTTAAAAACGTTCGAACGGAGGCGCCCGCGGTTTGGCGCTCACGAGGGGCTCGAATCCTCACCCAAAAGACAAGCAAGCGCAATGGACAGCCAGCGTCTCTGCTGCCGCTCGGCCGCCACGGAAGGTGCTATCTTCGACAATGACCGCTACTATCAAGCGAATCAAAACATAATATTAGCTCGAAATTTGATTGTGTTGACATTTTCAGATTGGCTGTCACTTTAAATACCAATTAATCATTTCTTAATGTACAACTAAACTTATAAAAAGCTAAAAAAAAAGTTTGTTGACTAACCAAAATAATGAGTCACGCACATACACATTGATACTGTCACACATGCACACAATCTCTCTAACATATGTAAGCGTGCATATACGCATACACAATTTTATGAGCATAGTATTTATGTGTGTTTTTTTCCCTTAACCCTTCTCACCTGCTAATTTTTCCATGTATTTCATTCCCATTGTAATTTTGATTATTAATAGCATTACTGTTTACTTGTTCCTTTGTAAGAATAATATCCCTGTTCTATGTGAAAATATCCGCAAATCAATCTTCCCTGGCACATATCAAATGACATATTTATCAAATTCATGTTTCCTAAATGAAATGCGTCATGTCTTAGTTGCTTAATGGGTTGCTTACAGTAGTAATGGGATATGAGGGCGTAATGTATATACATTTTCAAGTTTTCTAAATTTTCAAGCAAATATTCCATGAACTGAGTTTGCTCTAATTGTGTATAGCAATCAATGTTTGCCAAAAATCTGCTGTTTTACAGAGGTCGTGGACAAGCACCATATATCATAGTTCTAGAAAAGGAACACATGCACACGTATTATAATACCAAATTACACCAGGAAAATTAGAAATACCCTGACATTTTTGACATTGTTTGCAGGGTTCAGCTTTCAGGGGCCAGACCTATCGTTGGAAAATGCTTACATCTTACAGCAATGTTACTTTTGATACATTCATTGACAAACTCCTGAGATAATTCAAGACTATCTACTAATTTTAATTACAGTCCAGCTACAGCCAACACCTATAAGTATTGAAAGTAATATCAAAGCTGTGTGTATGCACATACGCACATATATATATATATATATATATATATATATATATATATATATATATATGTATGTATGTATATATATATAGAGTGTGTGTGTGTGTGTGTGTGTGTGTGCATACACAACACACACACATATCTATATGTACATTATATATATGTATATGCACACATATATATATATATATATATATATGTATATATATGTGTGTGTGTTTGTGTATGTGTGTGTGTGTGCACACACACATATATATACGCATACAAACACACACACGCACGCACACAAACACACACACACACATACATACTCATACAAACACACACACGCGCGCGCACACACACACATACACATACACACAAACAAACAAACACAGACACACATGCCATAAGCTAAGCAATATTTCGGCTGCGCCAGACTAGCAAAATGCGAAATATTCGTTATTTGTGCATGTTACCATCTTGTTCAAGTCATGGAATGCGTGTTAATGGATGTGCTAAATACGGTGGTTTCATATTCATTAATTTTTTTAAGAAATAACGGCG